CAAATGACCTAAGTCCAAACTCTTTAACTTCAGTCCCAAATCCCTAACTTCAGTCCCAAATCTCTAAGAGCAACAAATACCTGGAGGGCGTCCCACTCCAGGGACGCGGGGACTGGTGCCCCTAACGTCAAAACCAATGCCGGCAATATTTTGGATAAAATTTTGGTACTCACCGCTCGCGAGAAGGAAAATGAGGCCTTTAGGGATCCCGGAGGAGCCCCCAAATGTTGTAACTCAAAAATCAGATGACAACGAGGCAAGTCCAAAAGTTAAAGAAGCGCTTTATTTTAGCTGGTACCCAGCGGCAGACACCCCCGCAGGATGCTGGGCTGAGCACCGGGAGGATGAGGGGAGTGGGTATTTAAGCCAATAAACCACAAAAGCTGACGTCAAGGGTTCATCTAGGGGCTACAGTTGAAAAATTACCTGTTTCTAGTGAACAATAACAGGTGCAGTGGTGGGTACAGTTTGTAGCTGGGAACGAGGGCGAGATCAGGGCATTGGGCTGGGACTAGATTCAGGTGCGCACAAAGGCCAGCGTGAGAAAGGCCCAACTGCAGGTTCTCAAGTAGAGAACGGGGCACAGTGGAAAGTTACAGCATTTAGAAAGGCGCATACAGAACAAGATGATGGTGCACATGTCAGGTTATAACAGTTAATAAAGTTACAGTGGAAGCATACAGAGTTACAAAATTGGAATCAATTGCACAGGTTATAACACTTCCCTCCACCGATCTTTATTCAACTGAAGTTAGCCAAACTTGCTTTCTTAGCCTGACCAGGTTTCCCGGACCACCAGAACCCTAAGTGTAGGGCTGTGTCTCTGTCTGTCCCCCCCCCCCCCCCCCCCTCTCTCTCTCTCTCTCTCTCTCTCTCTCTCTCTCTCTCTCTCTCTCTCTCTCCCCCTCCCCCCCCCCCGTGCGAGGTGTCACCAGACTACCGATATAAGGACCAGCTGTGCAGGGTCGGGGTCTCTGCTCATCAGACAGGGAGGCGCGTTGCAGAGGAGAGGATTGGTTGGGTAAGAAGACTTCGTGACCCTCCATCTGTCTCCCCCAAACCCGGCTGTGGTGGAGGCAGGGGCGGCGACTGCCCAGAGCTCCTTTCGTCCTTGCTCTGGAGATCCCAAGAACAGCAGGTTTGGGGGAACCAGGGGTCTCGGAAGCTTGCAGCGCGGGAGGGGCGCGAAGCAGCCTAGCCTAAACCTTCCCTAACCAAGCCTAGGCAGACTGGCCCATAACTCAGGGGGACCAAGGACTTGAGGGGAGCCCACTAAATCGGGTACAGAGGAGCCAGCGGATGCAGGCAGGTGGAGTTGTGGCCTGGGGACAAATAGGCTCAGTGTCTAAGCTATTAGAAGAGGCTTAGGGGCCTGGGAGATAGCTGGGGCTGAGGAGATAGCTCAGTAGAATAAGCACTTGCCTGTCAAGCCCAACGGCCTGAGTTCAATTCCCGGTTCCTTCCGGGAGGGGGAAAAAAAAAAGTCTTAGTCCCCATGCCTTGCCTCTAGATGCTGGCTGGGAGTAGAGTACAAGCGTTGGACCCTGCATTTGCCATAGGTTTGCCACTTGAAATATAGCAGGCAGTTCGGAGCAGGTCGTTTCCCTTTGGACTTAACTGTCCTTTTTCCTAAAAGCCAGATGCATTTCGTCGTGGGGACCAGCACGGGGGAGGGAGAGGGAACGGCCAGAAGGGCTTTCGCTGCAGCTCTGCAAGTTCTGCCGCCCAGATGCTGGGGTGTGTGCTGGTGCGGGTGGCGGTGACACTCAGAGCCCAGCCCCTAGGGGAGACCGGGTTGGTCTTTAAAATTGTCTTGGCCTCTCGCTGCCGGGAAGTGACTGCCCTAACCCTGCCTTCTCAGAGAAACAGAAAGCAATCCCTAATCAGACCAAGCTGAGGTCTGTGGCTAGATGTCAGGTGACTAGAGACAGTACCCTGTGTTGAAAGTACATTTAATTGCTTTAAGACTTTTAGACAAGAAAGTTTAAAATGCCTTACACGGTGGGCCAAGGATATGGCTCAGCAGCACAGCACCTGCCCAGCAAGTGTGAGGCTGTGAGTTCAATTCTCTGTACTGAAAAAAAAAAAAAAAAAAAAAAAAAAAAGATGACGGAAACAAAATAGATTAGGAAAACAAGTCGTTGGGTTTTGCTCTCTCCATACAAGTAAAAGAAGAGGTAAAAGACATGACCCACTTCTGGCCTGATTATGAAAATTTATAAATATGTATATCTACTGGAAAACAGAAATCAAGCTCAGTATTGTTGTCATGGCAACAGGACATTAAAGGAACAGCCACTCATAATTACAGTATCACTTCAGCCTAGAGGACATGTTCACAGGCAAGAACAATAGTCGCTGAAGACCACCTCCTGTCTTACAAGATTACTTTTTTTTTTTTTTTTTTTTTTTTTTTTTTTTTTTTTTTTTTTTTTTTTTTTTGTGGAGCTGGGAATTGAACTCAGGCCCTCATGCTTTCCAGGCAAGCACTTATTCAACTGAGCTATCTCCCGAGGCGCAGGATTGCTTTGTTAGAGAAAAAAGCCTGTGTGGGCAGTTCAAGAAGCTAGCTACTGCCTGCTTCCAGGGACCTGTGAGGAGACAGCATTTCCTGTTACTTTCCTGGGGTAATTTTCTCTGTCAGTTAAGAGAGCCTGCTGTCTTCCGCACCACACTGGGTTTCTGCTGGGTGGAGGCTTGGCCCATCTGAGAAGTATGAGCTTAATCATATGTAGGGAGTTTTTACAAAGTAAATCTAGGGGATCAGCGATATAGTTCAGTGGTCTTTCCTGCTTAGGCACGCTTAGGCAAGCATTGAGGGACCATTGTCCAATTCCCGGCATCACATGCCACACCAGCTCCCTAGGGTGGGCTGAACCAACCACACACACACACACACACACACACACACACACGCAAACAAAACTCTTAAAATAAATAGAGGAAGCATGAAAGTTTTCATTCCTTTTTGTTTTGTTTCTTTTTTGGGGGAGGGGGACAGCAGGAAATAAACCTATTTTATGTAATACATTTTATTTTAAAGATAATAACAAAACAATTAAAATGATACATAATTTCAAAATAAGATGATAGAAAATTAACAATTGTTCTAATATTCCATATTGTTATCTTCAAAGTAGTTGTTCAGGTTATAAGATATAGGCATGCAAAACTGATCAAACAATTATGTACTAAGTATTCCTTTCAGTAAGCCAATAGAAATTAGTAGTATAATTATTTTAGCTATCTTTGCATGTGTGTGTGTGTGTGTGTGTGTGTGTATGTGTGTGTGTAACCTGTCCTTTTTTTCTCCTTTCCCCCATCCCAGTTGTTCTTTCCTTTTGAGCAGTTCTTGCTTTCACAATATCTATTGTACCTTTCAGATTTTATTTACTCTTTCAGTTTTTTACACTAGGGGGACAGTGTTTACCCTGAAGAGGAATAGCTGGGTTGAAATAAATCCTAAATTTTATTTGTTTCATTTTGGTATATTTTTGAGACAGAGTCTCCCTATACAGTTCAGGCTGGCCTTGAGCTAACCCTGTAGCCCACGCTGATCTAAACTCTCAATGATTTTCCTGCTTCTCAGCCTCCAGGATTACAGCTTGCACCACCACATCCAACTCATCCTAGTATTTTGAGAATCTCCACATTGGTTTCCACAGTGAACCTATTTATTTTTGCTTCATGTGTATTTGTGGTCCAGGGGTTCTAGGATTGAACCAAGGGCCTGCATGATAGGCAAATGCCCTCCCACTGAGCTATGTCTTTAGCCCTTTTTACTTTGTGTTTAGTATTTTAAGACAGGCTGGTGGTTCAGGCTGGCATCAAACTCACGATGCTGTTGTCTCAGCCTCCTGTGTGCTGGGATTACTGGTCTGGGCCACTATGCCTGGCTTCTATAGTTTTATTTTGAGACTAGTTCTTGCTGTGTAGCCCATGCTGGCCTTAAGCTTGCAATCTTCCTGCCTCAGCCTCCCAAAAATTTGGGACTAAAGTGAACATATGCCACCCTGCCCTGTTTGTGTAGATAGTTTTTAACAGACTTTTTTTTGCAGCATTGACAGAAACCATACCTGTTTAAAGGCTACAATTTGATAAATTTTAGTATATGTGAAACCATCACTGCAGTCATGATTGTAAATCTATCAAGATTGTGGCTAGGGGCAAGCAAGATAGCTCAGTGGGCTAAGCACCTTCTTAGGCAAGCGCAGGAACTGGGTTTGATCCCAGGAACCACATGCAGCACTGGCTCCACCCCTAGGTGGGCTGAGCGGGCCACCAAGACCAGGCATGGTGGTGCATGCCTATAATCCTGGCACTGGGGAGGCTGAAAACAGGAGGATTACTATGATCGATCCCTAGCTGTGTAGTGAGACCTTATACCAAACACATTTATTTATTTATTGCGGTACTGGGGATCGAACTCAGGACCCTGTGCTTTCCAGGCAAGTGCTTATTCTACTGAGCTATCTCCCTGGGCCCCCAGATACTTTTTTTTTTTTAAAGACTCTTATTAGGGGCTGGGAGATGGCTTAGCACAAGGTCCTGAGTTTGATCTCTGGTGGGGGAAAAAAAAAAGAAAAAAGAAAAAAAAGATTGTGGCCAGGTGTGGTGGTGCACAACTGTAATCCCAGCACTTGGGAGGCTGAGGCAGGAGGATTATTACAAGTTCAAGACCAGCTTGGGCTACATAGTGAGCTCAAGGTTAGCCTGAACTGTATTTTGAGACCCTGTCTCAACCCCTCCAAAAAAGCCCCCCAAAATTGTAAATGTATTTATCACCTTCAAGAGTTTCTTTGTATCCTTCTGTAATTTTTCTTTTTTAATCCTGCTATACCTCCCCAAGAAATAATGAGCAGCTTTCTGACATTGTACATTAGTTTTGCCTGGGTCTTTTTAATTAACACGGTATAGATTCATCTGTATTACTGTGGCTACCAATACTTCCTTCCTTTTCTTGGCAAGTAGAATCCCATTGTTTGACTACTGCCAAGTTTTGCTTCTCTTTTTATCCATGGTTTGGCATTTGGGTTGTTTCCAGTTGATGGCATATACAAATAAAATGTTATGAGTCTTGACATACAAGTCTTTGTATAGCCATATGGTTTTGTTTTGCTTTGGTAAATACTTTGGGGTGAAGTGCCTGGGTCAGATGGTCAGTGTATGTTTTATTTTAAGAAACTGGCAAACTCTGTTCTGAAATGACTGTGCCACTTTTTATTTCGAGTGTGTGACAGGAGTGTATGAGAGTCCCCCTCTCTTCCTTGTCTTATCAATGCCTGCTTTCATTATTTAGAGCCTTTCCTGTAGGCATAGTGGTGTCTCATTGTAGGCTTCTTTGTATGTGTCAGTGCTGGGAATTGGAATTAGGGCCTTGTCCTTGCTAAGTATCCTAAGCTTGAGCTCCACATATGAGCTACATCCTCAGCCCTTACTGTACCAGCTGGCATTTCCCTAATGACTAATGACATGGAGCATCACTTTGTGTACTTACAGTCATTCTTCGGTATCCTCAGAGCATTGGTTCCAGGACTTCCCAGTGGATGCCCACACCTCAGGATACCCAGGCATATTATTTGCATATAACCTTTAAACCAGAGGCATAATATTTGCATATAACCTTTAAACCAGAGGCATAATATTTGCATATAACCTTTGCACATCTTCTACATGCTTTTAATCATCGCTATATGACTTAGACCTTTCAAAATTACTTATAACGTCTTTAAAAATAAGTGCTATGTCATTGTTTGAGGAATGATGCCAAGGCAAGAATTCTGTACATGTTCAGTACAGATGCAACCTTCTAATCAAACATTTTAAATTTGCAAATCTGTGGTTGAATCCACTGATGCAGAATCCATGGGTACAGAGTGCTGACAGAATTTGTTGTTTAAGTATCTTCCTGGTGAAGTATCTGAGTCAATCTTTTACCCATTTTTAAGTTGAGGTTTCGTTTTCTTATCATTACTTTTTGAGTCTTCTACATGTGATTTAGATTGAAGTTCTGTATCTGATACGTAATTTGCAGCTATTTCTTTTTCCATCTGGAGCTTGTATTTTCATTGTCTTTTCCAAGAGAAGGCTTTGTTTTGCTTTGGTTATGCAATATTAGAAAATGAAGCCAGGGACTTC